TAATAAGTGGTTTTCTGAAGGGTGGGAAAAGATAATAGCAGTTCATATTTCATTTGATCCTTGGAGGAGGGAGAGAGATAGAGAGAGAAGACAAGAAGAGCGAGGGAACACGAATGGGAGGGGGAACCAGAGCCATGGCCTGCCAGCATTGTATAAGAAGAGAAAAAAGATGGTGTCCAGATGGGATTTAAGCTGCAGAGGTCTCCTATGCCCAGAAAGATCAATCAGGGTAAATGAGTTCTCCATGTATTATTACCTAAGGGTAGAGAAAATTGAAGATGAGATTTTTTTCCCCCTGCTTGTTTGACCTTGGTGCATAACTGCGGCATGAAAAATGTGCAGAATCTGACAATGATCCCCGCCCCCCCCATCTCCAATGGTCAAACTGAAATTTTAGCTCTTAGAGAATTAAAACTATTGGCTAACATGACACTATTTTATCTATTTTTTCATATTATAAGGTCTCATTTAAATGTAACTATCTGTGTAATCATGAATGAAACAGATTTGCAGATGCTGTCTACCCGGTAAGAACACACACTCACCCCTTGTTGCTGCATGCAAGGCAGGCAGTGCTAAAAGTGGCTAGAAAATCAATTTAAACTGCATTTGTGCTTTACCGAGAGCCCTGTGACACTTACATTGCTAAGAGTTATGCTTTCCAAATATGTGATCCACTTTTGTAAGCTACTAGAAACACTGCGACTTCAGTCACTCTCGCCAAGTAAGAATGGATGCCCCCATATCAATCCATTTTCACATCTGGCACTTACAGAGGGAGAAAAGAAATGAAATAAAAATGATAAATAGCAGAGATTTTAAGATCTGTTTTCTCTTTTCTGAAGACTGCATTTTGTATGTATAAATGAAAAAAAACCCGCATTTGTTTCTTTATCGCTCAATATTTTACAACCTTGAGATGGTTGTATGCAAAAGAGTACACAGACTGTTTCACCTCCTGATATTTCTGACTCCCATGCTCACTCCAGTGCTTAACAGAGCAGAGGTTCTGCAAGTGCTCCTGGTAGGAAATAGGTAGCCAGATGAATGATCTTAAGGACCTGTGCTACTTTGATTCAACAAACCTCCATAAAAATAATTTCTAGACATGGATATCATGGAAATCAAATGTAAAGGGTTCAAATCCTGAAGTATTTTATTGCATTTTATCTGAAAGAGCTAACGTAAGTCTTCATCTCTCCTTTTATTTTTTTTCCTTTTGTAGGTAGGCTTTATGTCTTTGCTTCACATCATGGCTTGGAGACAAAAAAAAATGCAAAATTGTTGAGCCGAAGACACTTAAGGAATAGATACAGAAAGCTCTCTGCCTTTTATCCATTTGTCTAAAGAATATGGATTTATCAATACAAATGATGTCTTGCTATACTTCTCACTGAAGAGTAGTTGCTGAATTGATGACAGCTTCAGCCCCACTCCCCACGACTAATCAAATACCAGGAGAATATTTACAACAGCAACTTCTACATCCTGTATTGTGCCTCTTCTTCCAGAGGTCCAAAGCCTCCATCCCTGTTTTAAGTTTATACAAGGTTCAGCCAGCTTGTTTATGTTGAAGTCTCATACAGAGTGTGTGTGTCTCATCTGTTTAAGCAGTCAAAAGAATTATATTTATTCCTTGTCAATCCAATGTCTATTGTCAGATCATTCATAGACATAATTGAGAAAGGGAAAATTTAAAACTTTCACATACTTGCAAGATTGAAATTGGTCTATTCTTTAAGGTCCTGTTTTACTTATGATTAGTTTTTCCTTATTGGACAGTTTAAAAATGTAGATGGGTAGGGACACAAAGCTAAGGTTCCTGGTTCTTGGTGATGTAAAAAAATGGGTGGTACTTAGACATTCTTAAAATAGAAATTAGCTAAATGGTTCTCTACTGTAATGCTAGAGTATATATTTAACAAGCTTGCTCATTGACTATATAATTATCCAGGGGTTTGCACTACTTTTCCAATGCCTTGACCTATTAATACAGTACTTCATGTTGTGGGGTCTCCCAACCATCAAATTATTTCATTGCTTTATAATTGTAATGTTGTTATTGTTATGAATGGTAATATAAATATCTGATTTACAGGATATTTGATATTTGACCTCCAAAGGGGTCATGACCCACAGGTTAAGAACTACCAATCTATAAGACTGTGTCTTCAAATGGATCAGTATTTAGTATTCCATATTTTTAGTTTTAATTGACTCCTATACTTATTTATGGGTACAGTTTGTATTGATGTACTATACATTGTACAAAAAAATATTTGGCCTATTTTTTTATTTTAAATATTTATAATTTCCTTAGAGTGAAAACATTTAAGATCCTCTCTTATGGCTATTTTGAAACACATAATCCAATATTATTAAGTATAAAGACAGTTCTGTGTAATGGTGTACCAAATCTTATTCCTCCTAGCTAGCTGTGACATCACACACACATTGCAATACTTTGTATTCCCCTGACTTCCACAGACTCTGCCAATAGTTGTTTTGTTATGCTCTGAGATCAGCTCTCTTAAGATTCCCAGTATAAATAAAGTCGGAAGTATTTCTTTCTCTGTGCCTGGCATATTTGACTTAACAATATATCCACCAGAATTTTTCACATTGCAACAAATGACAGAATTTTGTTCTTTTTGATTGTTGATGTCTTGAGGTGATGGGGTGGGCCTTGAGACATGGCCTTGCAGAATAGTTTTCAATGATCCCTATATACAATGTCATCTTTCTTCATTAATCAGTTGATGGGTACTCAAGTAGATTATTTTTGCTTATTGAATAGTATTGCATTGATCATGGGAGTGCAGATGTCTCTTCCAGGTACTGATTCAATTTATTTGGATACATAGCTACAATTGGATTGCAAGAGTACACAGTAGTTTTACTTTGAATCCTTTGAAAGCATCTTTTACACACTGTTTTCCATAGTGGTTTGCTAATTCACTTTGCCTGTAATAATGAACAGGTGTTCATTTCTCCAAGTCCTTGCTAGTATGCTGTCTTTAGTGTTTTTATCTATAGCTATTCTTATTGTATTGAGATGCCACTTCGTGTGTGTGTGTGTGTGTGTGTGTGTGTGAATTAATGAGTGAGTTCATTAAGTGTACTTAGGAAACATGGGTACATGGTTACTTATTTGCAGTAATGTAAGTGATCTCAACTTCCCTCCATAAAAAAGTGTGTCATTGTCACCTTGAAGTCCAGGGATGAAGACGTCTTGGAAGCAGCATCACAGAGTACTTATTGTGGTTTATATTGTCATTTCCCTGATTTTAATGATGTTGAACATTTAAAAAATACTTCTTGCCCATTTGTTTGTTTTATTTTTCCTTTTGTCTCAGTATGTAGCCCTGGGTAGCCTGGAATATCCTAGTTGACTGGGTGTGCCTTAAACTTGTGGTAATCTTCCTGCCTATGCCTTTAGAATATTTGAATTATAGGCCTTTTATAGTCTGTATGGTGCTTGTATAACTTCTCTTTGAGAGGTATCTAGTCAAGCTTTTGGCTCTTTAAAAAAAAAGTCAGATTAATCTCTCTGCTTTGAACTTTGAGAGTCTGACAATGTTGTGAAGTAGATTTATTTGCAGTGAGAGTAATTGGAGACCTTTGATCTACATGCATCTGAAAATTTATAAAATTCTGTCACTTGACAGTCTTTTACCGAGAAAAAAGTACAAGAAACACATATAGACACAGAGACATGTCTGTACTCAAAGGAATTCCATAAAAACACAAAACTGGAAACTATCATACATAGGTAGAGGACCTGCAAGATTAAAAAATATATAGATGACTTGTAATTATAGTCAGCTGAATCTTATCTCCACCTCTTTAGGTCAGTTAGTAGTGATCTGTTTGAAGCACTGTGTATTTGTTTAGTAGGCTTTATTCCAGCCTTGGTTTTATCTTTATCTTAGCTTGTTCTTTGTTTGTTTGTTTTTAGCACAGTGGTTCTCAGCCTTCCCAACACTGTGACCCTCTAACGCACTTTTTCATGTTGTGGTGACCCCCAACCTTAAAGTTATTCCATTGCTATTTCACAAGTGTAATTTTTCTACTGTGATGAATCATTATGCAAATATCTGACATGTGATCCCTGTGGGAATTAGGGTCGACAGCTTGAGAACCACTGCTTTAGCAGAATGCCTGTTTAGAAAATCCAGTCAGGTGTTCTGCTGTCCCCAAGGCCATGACGAGTGTGGTTGGTGCAATATTAATGGGTATTGAAGCACAGGATGTGGGTGGCAGAGATTGTGTTAGTCTAGAGTCCCTTAGCCACCAAGTCTGGTCTCATGATGTACTGTAATCCATATGGCCACTGAAGTCTTCCTTTAGCTGTGATATAAAGGCCCACATAGTCACACACAGGGCCAGGACATGTGCTTGCCTTTCTGTAGTTGTGAGATACCACTGGGTACCAGTACAGGTACCCAGTCTCAGTGGGTAGTGACCTAGATTCTGGCATCGTGTGAGTCTAGCCTATGCTATTTGACTGAGATAGTTTTAAAATCAGGCTCCCTGCAAAAGGTCTGTTCTTGCTTCCCTCTTCTTCCCTAGGTAGACATTACTTCTTTGCTATGTTGTCTGAGAGTGGGTGGATAAATGGTACAGGTCATTTAAAATTGACCTCTCTATCCTCTTCAGTGTGTTCTTTGTTGCCTTCCCTACTTCCTTTGTTCAAATGTAGGCATTTTCATCAAGGAATGTTCTTGAAGTTGAGGCTTCTTTGGGGCTGTACAGCTGTGAGAGTCATTTCCCACCGTATTTCTCTTCCTTTTTATAAAAATTACTAATCAGTCTTGTCTCTAACCTAGTGGATCTTGTATTAGCATTTTTTTCAGTGTCAATTCATCCTATCTTGAATTCTCTTAGATCTAGCCTTACCTTCATGCTGGCTTCTTCATTGACAATGAAAAAAAAAGATATTTGGGATATGATTATTAAAATTATATAAAAGTTATATTTATGACTTTTTTTTTCCCCAGGTAATTTAAAATATGTTTCTTTCAAGTTATACATGATGACCGCAGACAAAATGGTCAAACAGTGTACAAGCTGGGATAAGAGTATCAGATGGTCAATGGGCCGAAATCAGTGGAATTTAGAAAATACACTTAACTCTGAAGTAGACAGACAGACAGACAAACAGAAAGCTTTAAAGTACAGCATGGTCTAATCATCATCAGAATCGGAATCATATTTCTTTCCTCGGATAGTTTTCTTTTCCAGCTTTGTGAAGTTTGTCCCAAATTTCTTTTGGCTCTGAAATGGTGGCTCCATTAAATTTCCACTGTAATTGATAACAGCGGAACAACCAAGTCTCCATTCTAAAGTTTCTGTAGTGAAGTCATCTGTATTTCCTAGGTCGGTGAATCCAACAACATAATCTTGAGTCTTGCCGTCTCTCAAGAGAGCTAGTGTGGGGATGACTTTGATCCGCAGTCTCTCACAGAGGAATGGTGCTTTTTCCACATTCAGCTTCAAAAACTTGGTTTCGAGATGTTTTTTGGCCAGAATTGCCAAATGTCTGTCTAGTATTTTACACCTGAATGTGGTGTCTCTGTAGAAATGGCAAACCACTTTCTCACTCTCCTTGACTTCTTGAAAGAAGTCTCTCTCGCTGCTGATTTCTCTGTACTCCCCATGCCCTTTGGAAAGCCATTCTTGTTTTTGCTGTTGCGCCTTCCTGAGCGCCGCCAGTCTCTGTTGTTTGAGCATCTCCAGTTCATCTTCACCGATCTGATCCAGTTTCTGAATTTCAGCGTCCAAGTGATTTTCCACCAGCTTGGTAGCCTGGAGGAACTGGTTCTCTAGGACTTCTGAGAACATGTCGATGGATCCGTTACCTTCCATTGTTCTAAGTGGTCTTGGTGCTGGATAATTGGTGAAGCCTACGGAAAGAGGGAGGCGCAGATTAAGAATACCGACCAGGTTCTCGGAGGTTTCAAGCTCGCTCCTATATTTATGACTTTTAAAATGTAACGTTTTAAATGTAACTTAGACATAGTCCCGTCTCATGAGATTGTCTCTGATCTGAGATTTCTCTGAGGTAAAAATCTAGATTTGAAGGGGCTTGAAGCTTCTTTGATTTTTGGGTCCATTATTACAAAAGAATGGGAATGTATATATATTATGTATAATGTAAATATATACAGAGAGGCAGAAGAAATTTCAACAAATCACATGCAACTATTGAAGGAATAGGTCTCTTTCCTGTTTTTCACTGGGAACGACTGGAGGAATTGCTTGTGTACAGCTATGCCATAGTTGCAGTTTGCTTTTCTCTTTCTGGGTGACTACAGCTTATAGGTCACAAAATGCCATGTGCAAGGGTGAGAGCACCTTAAGTTATACATAAGAGCAGACTAAATCAGCTCTGATATCTAAAGAAGGAATTCTATCAATTAAGGGGCTGTGGGGCATTAGACGAAGAGGAGTAAACTGAAGAATATTTCATGCTTGTCAACCAGATCACAGTGTGGCCTCTTAGATCAATCTCACATAAGGTCACAGGAATAATAAGACATTCTGTTGCAGAGAGAGCAAAGCTCATTGATGCAGAGACATGATTGTACTTGTCAATAAGAACACCTTTGAAGCTAAGTGTGGCAGGGCGTGTTTGTTATCCTGAAACTGGGTTTGGGAAATCCTCCATGGCAGAAGGATCCAGAATTTGAGGCTAGCTAAGCTATGTGGATGTACTATTTAAAAATCATGAGCTCAGAACATCTCTTCTGTCCTGGGTTACTCTCAACTAGAGGTAGAAGAGAGAAAGAAAGGAGGACACATGCAGACTCTTCTTCACTCTAATCTGAGACTTGGGGTCTTGTCAAATCTGATAGGAGACATCACTACTAAACTAGATGTGACATAAAAGGCATGAAGTGGAGCATATATTTTAATACGTGAACCTTAATGGAGCATACATGGTGTTTATTAATGGAAAGTACAGGGATCCTACAGATATGTTTGACCATAGTGACAGAAGGAAAAATACTTCTTTTAGACTTCAATTTCATAAAGTTCAAACAGATTTTAATGAGTGGACTGTACAGATAAATGTCTAAGTTCTAAATTAGCTAACATAAGGTGAATGATAGGGAAAATTGTAAAGTCATACGTGCTTTAATGGTTTAATAGAAATAAGGTTGGATTTTTCTCCTCTCCCTTAAAAGCAGGCTGCATACAATTGAGAGGTTTGGGGACCCATTTTATCTCCCTTTATTTATATGCTATGTCATATTCTATTTCTGATTTATTTCACATGACTGATATACACCTGAGAAGGGGCACTTAAATCCTCTTTACAGGGTTTGCAGATATGGCAGGTTTGGAGGTAAGCTGACGCTATATCATACATAGGGGCTTGTGGTCTCTTGAAAATGAATTACTTCAAATTTTCCTCCAAAGTCAGTGTCTTTGTGCTGGTCTCTCAGAGAAGTTTCATGACTAGCCTGTCAGTGAAACCAGTTCTGACCTCTCTTCCCTTGATATCCGGTGGTTCCAGCAAGTGACATGGGGCAGAGTTCTGAAGACACTGGCATACTTCCCATTGCAGTTGAAGCAGCTTCCAACATGGAGAAACCCACCTTCTCTTACTGAAAACTCTTCTCTAGGAGGGCTTCCAGCTTGGGCACTTTCTGAAAGAATGGACCTTGAGGAGCAAATTTTTCCATGTGCAGAGTAAGTCCCTGCTGAGCCTGCTAACCAAATCCAATCCAGTGTCATCTTACAAGTGACAATTCTACATGCAATTCAAAGATGCTTTCAACAGACAGAATGAAACAAAACTAAGAAGGGTTAATACCTCTGAGGATATTATTTGTTTAGATGCATGACAATAAAACGTTCAGAAATAGGCTCCCTTCCCTTTTGTGTTTGGGAGAATGGCTGAGCCTGCTGAGATGGATTAGGGCTAATCTGGTCTGGATACAGAATAGTATCTACAAGATCTCAGTGGGCAGGCATATCTAGCTACATGACACTATGAAAGAACAGTGATGACAAGAAAAGATTGTGTGGGGTTCTGTGACTTGTTACAGAACAAGCAGAAAGGCTGAGACTCAGTGTCCTGACTCTCCTCTGTGAGGGCATGGTGATCAGACTGTCAGGTCGAATGACTCCTACTTCATTTTGAAGGGCTAAATGAATTACAAACTGAATGCTTCACAAATGGAAAAAATACAGTTTCCTTTTGAACAAAAAATATCACAAACACACATATATCATATGGTAATAGGGTGAACATCCTTAAAAGATCAGAAGAAACCAAAGTTGACTCTCTTCACATAGGCTACTGAGAATGATGTTTGTTCCTTAGCATAAGAAAGATGCTTTTCTGGAAGATTGCTTAATTAAGTGAAATGGTAATGTAATCTGCATTTCTTTGGTTGAATAACAGTGATATATCTATTTGCTCCCGTAGTATGGTTCTTTAGGCACTATAGCCTTTAAGGTAAATGATGTCTGACATCATTTTTATACTTAAAATGAATCTCTACTGACGATTGGACTGCATCAGGTTGGCCCATGGTGTCATTTTCTTGATTGCTAATTGAGGTAGAAAGGCCCAGCCTACTGTGGGCGATACCATCCCTAGACAGGTGGGCCTGAGCTGCGTAAGAGAGGTAGAATGCGAGGATGGGAACAAGCCAGTGAGCAGCATTCTTCCAAGGGCTCTGCTTCAGTTCCTCAGTTACGGACTCCTACCTGTGAAGTGAAATAAACCATTTGGTCCCCAATTTGCTTCTGGTCATGGTGTTCACCACAATAATGGAAACCAAATTCAATCAGAAAATGGCGTGGGTTAGTGAGGAATCAAACCTTTGGAGTAGTCAGTGGTATAGAAAACATACCCTTTCATATGCAGTGATTACTGACTTCAGTATGTGATAAAACACACCCATACACACTTAGCTTCTGGTAAGATTAAAGCTTAAGGTTAGCTTCTATAATTCTTTAGCATACATCAGAGATAAAGTTTGAGGGCAGTGGCCATATAGCACAGCCTCCCAAACCTGGTGCTTCTTTTAAATTATTGTTTAACCTATTTTAGAACACCTGGTGCAGAAAGGAGAAAGTGATTTAAACATTATCTGTTTAATTTGCTAACCTTCCTGTGCCCTTTTAGAAACAGCTTGTTCAAGGTCCGCGGAGACTCAGAGGCTCAGAATAACTCTTCTGTATCACTTTCTAAACTGAATTTCACTACATGCAATTTGGGCTTCTCTGAAGTGAGCAACCGCAGGGGTTTGGAAATTCTAGCACAGATTTATGGTGAAATGAAAAAGACTGGACCCTGTCCAGGAGCATGCGATGGTGGTCAAAGCAGAATGACATTTTCTGAAGAATGCAGCTGAGGCTCTGTTTCCCTTAACTCTGTTAAACCTGAAATTTGTCTTCCTGCAAGTGGATTGCTTTCATAGACGGTACATGAGTAGCACTTAAAAATATTGAACTAATGTAACCAAACTCCAAAATTCTGTGATGACTTCACTTAGAAGTCTCCACTGTAACTTTTCTATGCACCCCAGTGTATAACACTGATTTCATTCATACCTCTGTTCCTGTTTATAGCATATTTCTATAACAGTGTCTTTTTTTATATCACCTTAGGGTTAGTTTTTTGGGTGAGCACTTGAAGGGAACGAAAAGGCTGTTTCCTCTTCTCTCTCTCTCTTTGGTTCTGAGATCAGGGTGTCAGCAGGTTTGACCCCTTGGACACTACTTGTCCTAGTTTGCTGACTTGCCATGGGCCCCAAAATGAGAATAGAAGGGATATACAAAAACATGAGTATAAACAACCTCTCTTTATAAGTTGATTATCTCCAATATTCACTACCATAATTGAGGAAAACACAGAGAGGAAAGGAAGCTCTGGCTTTAGCCTGCAGTATAGATGGACATGAATTACCAAGGACTTTTGGGAAGGGAGATCCAACTTGACCAAGTCAGAATGGCGTTCGCGTTCAGTCTTCAGCGTTGTTCTTGAGGAGAGGTTCTGTTGTTTCCCAGCAAGAGCGTGTATCTGTTAGGGGGAATCAGTACACATAGTGATGGCACTTTGATTTCTATTTTGGTCCATTTTTTTTTCCTTGATGGACCAGAGTTTCTCGTAACATCACCAGGAGTCTCTGTTCTTATATTCAATTTTTATTATTCTCTTATTCTTGTTTTGTATATATGGTACATTTTGTGTGTATGTGTGTGTGTGTGTGTGTAGATGAGATGTCATGTGTGCATGTACTTGTATGTATGTACTTATTATTGGTGTATGTGTAAATGTGTATATATGTCTGTATAGGTCAATATTTGGCATCATCTGGGTTTTTTTTAATCATTTTTGTTTTGGAGGCAAAGTCTTTCACTGAACCTGAAGCTTGATAAATCAATGATTTATCTAGGCTGTCTGGCCAGTGAGCTTTGTGGATCTGCCCATGTCCTTATGATCTGAGCTCCAGCATTGCCCTTACAGGAACATACTGTCATCTCCAATTAGTTACGTGGGTCCTGGGGATCTAGGCTGAGGTCCTTGTTTTTGAGCTACAGCTACTTGACTGACTGAGTCATTTCCCTCCTGGCCTCCAGTCTTTCTTCTTTGAGTACAGACTGCTAGAGTTCTCTATTTGTAATTAGTCTTAGATTTTACACAAAAGAAGGAAGGATGAAAGACAACATTCTTATTCTTATTGTTTTTCCCATGGACTCATAGCTATATGTCCATATACATATGTATATGTACATATTTTTATAATAATTTAAAATATTACATTTTGCTTATATTCACTCCCTCCCCAACTTCTCCAAGTGTTCTTATTCTAAACTTTTGTCTACTCAGGGCCTTCATTGATCTTACTGAGAAAGTATTTGTTTTACTACATTTGGGGACTTTATAATTCTACTGTATTGGGATACCCAAGAGAAGAGTTTGAAAGGAAGTCATTATT